AGTGGTAGGTCTGACCAAAAGAAACATATTTTCTTTTTGCCGTTTTTAAAATAAATTGCTAATAACCGAGTTATTTAACTTCAAAAACTTAAAAAAATAATGGCAACATTTTGAGAGCCGCCGGCAGCAATCGATAATCAGCCTCAAATACCAAGCAATTACCAAAATCTCAGCTTGTTCGACGCCCAGTGTTGACACATCGACTAGACAGATTTCAAAGCGACTTGGAAAATTCAGATTAAAAGCAAAAAGCTTACCTAACATTAGAAAACGGAACTCCGGTAGGATAGCAGTTCGATGTTTTTAGGTTAGAGTAACGTTTTATCGCTTTACCTAAAATCGCAACTCAACACTAAACAACACTTCATTTCACAGCGATTATTGACAGCACTATACTTACACGTGTATTTGGCACAAAATACATTCATATGCCATCTGAATTATTTAGGAATATTTTTTGAGAATTTAAACTCCTCTATTTTTCTATTTCACACTCTTGATTTTGTGAATAAACTCGAAAATAATTAATATTTCCATTTGAATAGTAAAAGTATTTGTACAGGCTAACCTTGGCATTTGTATATCTTTTATTTTAGTTTTGTCAAAGGTATATATCAAATAGAGGGCGCTGATTCTGAACTGTTGAAAAGCTGCTATAATTGTATATTATTTACTTTCATTATTTTAGTATACTAAACTGTAAAATAGGTATTTAAAATATAGTAGACTTAATAGTAATTACTATACTTAATAGTAAGCTACAAGATTAAAAATCTACAATGAATAAAATTAAAGATTTTTATGCAGAAATTTAAAAATATGAACTTATAACTTATAAACATACATGAATGTGGGTAATGTAGGAGGTGGCAGCATTGCATTCTCTCGAAGTACTACAAACAAATTTCCGCAAACTGAACCAGCGACACTCCAAGGTTTTTCCGAGGGTTTTTCAATATTCTCCGGAAAATGTCAAGAAAAATATAAATTTTTTGCAAAAAAACTCTTGGCGTGTTTCTGTAAAAAGTAAAAATATACAAAATACAATATGATCGAAAAAACGGCGTCACCGATAGCTATAAAATTAAAATGGCTGTCAGTTTATCATCATCATAATTTTCAGCTTATTCAACCATTTCCAATTATGGTGTAGCCTCCTTTACATCCTCTCTTTGTAGTTGGGTCCATTGTTGTCTATTGTTGACTATGCCGGCCCAAGTTATCCCTGCTAATTTCCTAATATCATGGTACCATCTCAGCTTCGGTCTTCCTCTAGGTCTCTTAATTCCCCGTGGGTACCACGCTGTAATTTTTGTGGTCTATCTGTTATTCATTCTTCTTGCCAGGTGGCCTGCCCACTGCCCATTGCCATTTGAGCGATTTGACTCTGTGGATGACATCTATTACTTAGGTGTTTTGTCGGATCCACTCTATTCTATTCCAGCATATTTCGTTCCATTGAACGTTGTGCGATCTACAGTTTCCTTAAGGCTGTCATTCCCTAGGCGATAAACGAGCAATCCGATCGAGCGATCTAGTCGTTTTCGATCAAATTATCGAAATATCTCCAGGTTAGTGCGTCATTTCAATCAAATTGAAAGCGATATTGTGGTTGGCAAGCAATATTTTGATTTACAGTACGGAAGGTGAATCGGGTTGCGATTGTCAGCAATTTAAAGAGGTTGTACGATGATCGCCCAATCAGTGGACATCGGCAACCGGTTTGCTCAACTATTTTTATGTTAAAAAAACTATTAAAAACCAGCAACTGAAATTAATTTCCAAAAAAATTGATTGACAACCAAATTGCTGGAATGTCGCCTTATAAATGGTCCGTTTCAAGCAAACCAAATTTAAAAGAAATTTAGAAGCAATTTTATCGCTCAACTTGGTTGTTACAAAATCGCCCAGTGAATGAGGGCCCTTATGATATCCGTTTTAAGTGTCCAGGTTTCGCATGCATAGGTCATGACTGGTAGTACACATTGGTCGAATGTTTTCTTCTTTAGAATGTCATTTTAAATGTAAAATTATATGGGGAATTTCATCAATCGTCATTTCCAAGCCAACTGGACTGTTTTTTTTCGATCATACAGTGTATATCTACAAAGCATACTATATATTCGATAGTATATAAGCCAACTATACATAAAAAAGTTAACACTCCTGTATTAAAATCATAAATTTTATACTTTTCACTTTTCAAGTCGATGTCTTTGATCCACCCATTAAATCGATATAATATTTATCAGATATATTTCCTAATATTGACTAATATAATGATTTATGATTAATATTTTAAGTTACCTTAAGAGAAGCAACGAAATAAATACAAATAACTATTTCTTAGTTTTATTACTGTCCCACGTATGACTAATTGGTATATTTCCTATAATCCGCTTATCTGAAATCAAAATATTGATCGAAAATGCAGGAGATAATTTGTAAATACGATAACTTTTTTCAACCTAATTATACTTTTAGTTTACCACTCAATATTATAACAATAAAGTTTATATGTTAATTTGGCGTAACAGTTTTTGAAATTAAACGTATTTTTTCAATATTTATTAAACTGGGAGCTTTTAGGTTACTGAAAAGTGAATTGTGCAAAAGTAAATATTTAGAAATGTGTGAAAATTATGGTTAAAATCAACATGAGCTTACCCCTATTCTAGACCAAATGGACCATGAAAAAGGTAAATCAATCCATGACATGATTTGTTCTAGATTTTTTTTCAGATTTTAAAAGTTTTATATCAAGGAATTATGACCACCCTGTAAACTCTTATAAATATTTTTTCAAACTTGCTAATTACTTTTCTCAACACAAGAACAAGATAGACACAAGTTAGCTGTCAATCAGAAATTTCCACTAAATTGTTAACGATTTCCGAGTGTAGCACTTGACAAATTTTATGAATTTTTAATTTTACATCCAAGTCAACTAACGACTAACGTGATTACAGAAAAAGAATTTGTTTACGTATAAAAATAATAGTTAAGTTTTCTGATATAACTAAAGAAGGTAAGCTTATTGAGTTGTCCTTTATTTTACGAAAGATTTATTACTCATTTGTTAAAGAAATGTTTTATTTTATAACATAATTTATAACCCATCGAAAGTAATAATATAATCTCCAGATAAATATTTTACTCATATTTTTCTTTAACGAGCAGAATTATATTGGAGCTGTAAATAAATAAATGTATTCCTAAATATAGGATGATATTTTGAAAGATAGCAATCAGAAATATCTCTGAGACAAAAACAAATTCTTCAGGAAGATCTCAAACAAATAGCGGGAGTATAAAAATGAAGTATATTTTGTCTTATCTCGTCTCGCGTCTTATAGAGTAGTTTCAATATTTATTTTAATGTAAAGCTATCCTGGGCCTAGCACATATTTTTCCAGCCTTATGACAAAATCTTAAATCGAACAATTTGGTTTTGAGATGTTGTTTACAAATAAAAATAACATTTTAAAAACTAGTAATTAGACTTCTTTATCCAAAAAAATTGTTATAGGGTTGATGCATTCTCCACCGGTGCTACCACCAGTGTAAGAATATAGAGAATGTCGTAAACAACAAGCATATACAATCACAAACAACTTAAATAGCGAGTGCAAGAAAATTTATTATTAATTGTTCTAAAAGTGCTAGGAAGTATAATTTGTAAAAATTCTTAAAATAAAAATAAAAAAGTAAATATTTTGATACCTTCAGAAGGTTTAACTTGAATTATAATTTATTCTTTCAGCTAAAATAACTTTTTGAGTTCAACTATAAGCACCGATTTTGCTAGCGGAGACATAACTGGGCCTATTTCTGTGTCAATTTTTTTAAAGGTACATAATTATAATTTTACAAGATGTTCATAAAAAAAATTAACCACTAGTTGATTAAAACAAGTATACCATTAATATAGCAAATTATAATTTACTAGTTGAAGCCTGGCGCATCCGCCACTACATCAGAAAAAAAATACTTTTTATTTTTTTTTAATTAAATGAAAAACAAAAAATCCGGCGACGACAGTTTTTAGAAGAGCCAATTAGCTATCTTTTAGTAAAAAAGCAACTTTCTAGAGCAAGTCGTTACTTCAGTAGAGACGACACAGATAAACATTACCATTTTATATTATGTAGATCCTCTCATAGTATATGCCTATTTAATTTTTTGATTATGTAATGGGCACTTTGTTTACTCACTTGTTTCGTCGAGCTGCTTGAATCCATGTTTGCTTTTGATCAAATCGGTGTGAGATTATGGAGCTATAAAATGTTGCTTCGAGAGAGTTGAATATCCGGGAAGGTTGAGTTATTGAATGTTATTGAACCCAACAACCACGTAATTATGCCCTCCTTTACGTGCTAACATTTTTTTCGACAATTTTATTAACATTTGAAATTGTCACAACAACAAAGCGACGCCCAGTTCGGGTTCTTTTTAACTTAATTTATATTACCAGAAACAGCGTCACATGATACAAACCTCATACCTGAGTATTTTGTCGTTTCAATAACTACACTGTTAGAAAGTAAAATACTTAGTTATTATAACAAAGCCACGATTTTATTATTATTTTAATGCGATCAACATCGGAACTGCGTGAAATACAGAGCTAAAACTTCTAATTTCTGCCGTGTCGAGCGCTGCGATCGGAATTTTTAATACCAACTGAAATGCACCAAGGCTATAAAAATCTCAAATACACATAGGAGAAAGCAATCTTCACTTTATTTCATTTTTTAAAAAAATCACCCCGTATAAATTTACCTATAATAAATGTTATTATACATGTGTAAACACATAAACTCTTTGATCATAATCTAAAGGCGTAATCTATAAGTAATACTTTTAAAAATATTGAAAAAAATCTATCCTACATCAGTAAAAGCCTGGCATACCATTAACAGATTTAGTCATGATATAATAGACACATCTCAATATATCTAACACAATTATTATTTTTATCTTTCAAAATTGATAAAGAAAATAATTTAGTAATATCTTCAATACGATTTAAGATCGATAAGTCGCTTTCAAAGGATGTGTACTTACTTACCTACTGACTTAGTTTAATTCATGTTATAATTTATCAAAAATAAATTAATAAATATTAGTTATCGGCATTCCTAAGTATTGAGTGTGTTGTAAACTTTTTCTCCTAATTAATTAATTTGGTAAGTACAAAAAATATTTTTATAACTCTCTGTCAGACTTTAAGATGGTTTAGGTAGCACTCTATATGTTTTTTTATATTCATAATATTTTAAATACAAAGTATGTTAGGTTCACATACAAAGTATCCCATTAAAATCAATTTATTTTATCTAAAATATACTTCAAAAACCGTAGAGGGATTAATCCACATTTATTTTCATATGACAATTATAAGTATTTTACAATTAAAAAATTTTAAACATTATATTTATCAAAAAACGTATCAAAAACCTGACAAATAAATTCATTCATTTTCCAATATAATTCTGAGACTTACTATATAAAATCTATGCAACATGCTAAGGGAATATTTCGGCATACGACATTCGGAAAATGACAGAAAATATAATTTAACTGTAAGTTATAATGACAGAAAATCACTGTGACTGCCATGTATCCGGTATCCTGTCGTTTGGTTTGGTTTGGAGAGTATAGAGTTTTATATATTCTTAGTACCGTATGATCGAAAAAAAAACGGCGTTAGCAATGGCTATGAAATGCAGATAGTTGTCATTTTATATGTAAATTTATATGGGAAATGTCATCCATCGTCATTTCCCGGCAGCGGCCCAGCTACGTCGAAACACCAGTTCCCATTAGAACACCGAAGTTAAGCGACGTATGGTGATACTAGTGGATGGACGGGTGGCCGGTTTGAAACTGTATCGTGCTGTTGTCCAAAAAAAGGCAAAAGTGTAAAATCTATTGACACACACTGCTCATTCACGCCGGTTCGAGGCCGGATGAGATCGGATATCTCGTGAGTAAGAGTCGATTTAGACACTTGCCAAGTCGGTAGGCCATTGACCATGAAATAGACGAGGACCGCGGTTCGGGTTCCGCGTAAACAAAGTAGGCCCCGTCCAGATTAGCCCTGGCAGCAAAAAGGAGACGTTAACTGAAATCTTTACTTTACTTTACTTCGTCATTTCCCAGCCAACTGGACGCCGTTTTTTTCGATCATACGGTATTAAGTAACTTAAACCTATCCTAGAAACTTAGTAAATCAATAAACTTTTATGATAAGTTTGATGTACACGTTAGCACTTAAAACTTGCAAGTTAGGTACAACTAATTATTTTCGTTCAATCCGTAATATTTTTATACAAGGTGTTTCTTTGGATATTGATATAGTAAATATGGATCTTACTAAAATATCTTAGAATTTTTTTAGAATTTTGAATGAGTGGGAGGGGGGTTAAGAAAAATAAAATATCTTACCATCGCTCTGTATCTTATCAAAATACCTTATTGTAGACTAGCAAATATTTATTGTAACGGGATATACATACAACCATCAGGAATTTAAAAAAATATAATTATAGATTGTGATTGATTCTATGTCAAGATCCAGGGCATTTAAACTTAGGGTTGCCAACTTTCTAAATAGAAAATAGAGGACGAAAAGGTAGGAAAGCCCAGCAGGCTAAACATTTTTTGAAACCTCGTTCAAATGATGTCAAGATTTACCCGAAACTTATGTAAACGTTATGCGATTGATGGTCTTTCTTACTTTCTTAAAATTATTCATACTCAAAATCTGTTAAAATAAAACAAATGATTTTCTATAAAACTTTTTATTTCAAAACATAAATTGACAATAAGTACTCATAAATAGCTAAACAAGCAGGCTTCCACAAATATTTGTCGTCAAATAACATTTTATTGTGCTTTCTGGCAATACACGATTATTTTTTTTAATTTTGAGTTTTGTGTGTAAAAATAGGACTGTCCTCTGGAATTCCTCGGGAATACAGGACGGTTGGCAACCCTATTTTAACTACTCTTTTATATCAACCAGATAATACCATGATAATAATAGAATAAAAAGAATGTACCTACATTTTCGCTCCCTTGTATGTATTGTCACTGTCAGCTTAATGCCAATTAAGAGTCTTTTAGTATTTGCTTAAGAATTTTTCATTGAATTTAACCACAACTTATTGAGAGTTGAGTTTGTTTTAAGAAATCGAAAACAAAATTCAACAAAATAATATATTTAGCATTTCTATAAATAATAAACATTACACAAAAAGATTTTTTGCAAAAAAAATTGCACAAATAGGCCTTTCAATACTTAGAAATAATTATGAATATACGTATTTAAAATTTTGTTGCTAAGTTTATTTTTTGAGAAGCTGTCAAATGTGTATGTAAATGGTAAATATGAGCAGTATAGCAGTCAGAAAAAATATCAAATAAATTTAAGATAACTAGTAAAAAATAATTTTTTTCTTAATATCCATACTTTGTTTGCTTGGTAGGTATATTTTTAATAAAAAAGCTTTTTTTCTAAAACAATGCGAATGTAATAATTAATTAAAAAAAATTTGGAAAGAAAACAAATAATTTTAATTTAATTTCTGATTATTACAGTTCAAATTCGTCATTTTTAAGCCAATCAAAGTTCAATTGCAAATTATGTATTTGTCTTTTAGATTTTACAGTAACTTGCAAAATAAACTGTAGCATTGTACTCTACATTATCAACTGTCATTGTCATTATAATACTAAATCAACAGCTTAACAACTGACCATTAAATCGTTAACAGCATGCAAACAATATTTCTCTAATAGAAAAAACAGTGTTAATTATTCTTTTCTAATAAAGATTAGCGTCACTTTTATTGCAAATTTATGTAAATTAAAAAACTATATTTACCTTAACCAAATAAAATTGATTGGATTTGAAATTTGTCTGCTAATTTACAATTATTTATTCTTATGTAGGTCAGTTATTATTTTATTTATATTTCATTCAAAACAATAAACATAAACTTAATTAGGTCGACTTAAAAATCTATGTTACTATTTTTAGAAAACACATGGGTAGATTCAAAAAAAAAATATTTTTAGACACATTATGTTAATTGGAAATTTAATATAATGGCCATTAAATTAGTTTTATAATTTATAACAAATTAGATGAATTTACTTTTCTATTCCTTTCTTATCAATAGTTTTAATCATTAATTAAAATCACTTCATGAAGAACACATCCATCCTGTTTTAATTTTTCTAAAAAATATTTTACGAAATATTTCAGAGAGTGAAGAAAATGTAAACAAGACAAAGAAGTGATACAAGAGTTACAATTATTACGGAGTGAAAAAAGTTAAAATTCGGATTATTATAAAAGTATATATAGTGCGTCTCAATAAACAAGACTAAATATGGTCGTAAGCCATGGACATGGACCTCGATCGGGTCACGGTGGTCACGGTGGACACGGTGGGCATGGTGGAAACTACAAGCAAGTGGCGAAATCGGAAGGTGAACGTAGGGCTAGTCACGGCGTGGCAGGATTGCAAGGACGTGAATCTTTTCTTACCTCAACAATTAGTATTTTTGTTGACGAAAATCAACCAAACATTCCCGACGGTGGTTGGGGTTGGTTAGTGGTGTTAGCCTCGGTATTCATTAACTTAGTGTCGGATGGAATCACTTGTTGCTTCGGACTGCTGTACATGGATTTTCTGAAAGAGTTCGGGGCTTCTAAATCGGCTACAGCGTGGATTGGAAGTCTTTACGTAGCTGTACCATTAGTAGGTAAGTGTGATAAACAATTTTGAATTAGTTTTTTAAATATGTTAAACTTATAATTGTGGTAGGGACATTTAGCTACCACTTGTAGTTAGTGATGGAAAAAACGTTAATAAAAAATAATTAAAAAAAAGTTACATACGTTAAAACATAAAAAATAACCATTTTAAAAATTTTATAAAGCCTTGATGCACTTATCAAATCGCCTGATGTAGGTATCAATATAATGTCGTGTACCTATAACAATAATAATAAATCGTCTTTGTTATTAGTATTATAGCAAATAAAAAATATTATGTAGGAGATATAAAATTTATGACACATATAAACGTATAAAAAAATATTGTAATTAGTTCTTGACGTTAACTAAAAATTACAGATGGATTTCCAATTAGAGTTTCCATGATGTATAGTTGCCAAGAATAAAAAAATGACTTTATAAATTCTAAACAAGTTAAATTGATATACAGGGTTAGTCTTAAATAAGTCCAAATATTTTTAGAGGTAGTATAAAAAAAAATTGAAAATTTGGAATTTTAAAAAAAATTGGAGATTTTTTTTTAGTTTTCAGTGAAAAAACATAATTTCTTGATAATGTGGCAACATAGGTAGTAGAATAAATTTAGAAGAAAGAAAACCCAGGAAAAATACAGTGGTACAAAATTTAAGCCAATTTTTTTTTAATTTCAAAATAAAATAACTAACTCATTTTGAACTTATTTGAAAAACGGTAAAGAGAAAATCTGTTTCTTTTATCGAGATCTACCAGAGATTATTTGAGAACCTGAGAATATTTGCACTTATTTAAGATGCACACTGTATAGTAACATATGCAAATCCTTAATCAAATGCGCTAAAAGTGAGCTTATGGCGGTTTTACACCAGACAGATTATTTGATAAATATATTAAAAAAAACATGTCAAGCGGCATAGAAAATTTGTCAAAGATGTGACGTTCGTCAAGTACCTACTTTTGATTGATTTGAAATTATTTATTTATAAAACAAGATTATAATATATTAATCTGTCTTGAGTAGAGACTGGAAAAAAAATAAACAAAAAATACACAAGCTTTACCTCACTCTTCAAGATTTAAAATCAATGAATTGATTCAGACGAAATGTCTGTGGACAGGTTTGATCAAATATTTGAAAAAAAGTAGCAAATGTTCTAAAATTTCAAATACATTTTTAAAGATTATGACATTTTTGACACCAAAATATTAAAATAAATTGTACAAGATATTAATCTGATCAAACAAGAATAGTAAAACCGCTATTAGAGTCTGTCCATACTAAAATGTAAGGTGTAAAGCGGCCTATACACCTTGATGTACGCTGCGATGCATGCATCGACTCAAAGTTTCATGAAATTTGCATCAGTTGCATAGGTGCCTGAATCGACTCGATATTTCATGCAACACAGAAACTGTAGTGAAGTTATCACTACGGTTCTCGTCGAAAACTGCGTCGCATAGTATGAATTTTTTTGGCTACAAAATCCTTATTTGCATTTGGGAATTTTTCCTTGCATTTCATTACAAGATATTCATATGCTTGGTTTCTTATATTTCTATCTGAATACTCTTTAGCCTTTGTATTCCAAAGACACGTATGCAGATGATAAATGTTTATGAACTCTTCCCCATAGATAAATGCAACAAGTTTAGATTGGAAAGCCCGTAAAAATTTTAGGTCGCGAAATTATTTTGGGTCGCGACCGTTATACGCGATCTGGCGCTGCTATAGCGGTCGCTAAGAACAACGGCAAACAAAAACAGAAATAATTTTCTCTTGTCAAAGTCAGAATCTTCAAAAATCATAATAATCTTTCAAAATCTAAACCGCTATCATTAAATTAATTCCGAAAAGTGTTTATAGCGTCCATTTTCAAAGTAATTATTGCTATCTTGTGAGTTTAATTCAAGTTTTATTTACTCCAACCGGTGATAATTGTGAAAAAGTGGCATTAAAAACTTAAAAAGCTGTGCTGAGAACTGTGAACTGCAAAAACCATCGTGGATCGTGGCATAACGTCGGTTTCCAATGTTTCATAGTATTTCATACATGCGTCCTTATATAAAATAAAGTTTCTTGTATGCAACACACTGTATTTTATTTATAAAATTAAACGAAAATAATAATAAATTTGAATAAACAATATTTGGCGATATAATTCCGGAAAAATTTTGGGTCGCGACCGTTGCAAGAATAGCGCCAAATAGTGTTTACATTGTCCTTATGAGCACTTTCCAATCTAAACTTGTTTCATTTATCTATGCTCTTCCCAAAATTGTCGATCACCTTCCATCATCGAATTTACACACACACAAATAAACAACAAACATCTAAAATAGCGGAAAAAAATAATAATATCGTTATCGCATCGACGCAATTCTATACACGCTGAAACTTGCATGAGCATCACCGACTCGGCATCGTGGCTCGCGAACCAAAATAGGATTCCAGACTCGGCATCGCTGCAATTTGCAACTGATGCCAAATACGTGATTCATTACTACACAAACTGCTACTTGCATCATGAAACATAAGAGTCGATGCATGCATCACAGCATACATCAAGGTGTATAGGCCGCTTAAGAAAGTGACATTCAAATAGTTCATCATATACATATTGAATGAGATGATTATTTCAAAACCACTGCCTAATCAATAATAACAAACTTAAAACTTCACAATTCAATATTTACAATATCGGTATACAATAATTAAAAGAAAAGACAATGGTTATTAACGATTGACTAAATGAGCCGTTCACTGAACAATTGGATTAATTCTAGTTTTTAAAAATATTAAATTTGAGTGAAAACTACTGTTCGATATTCACTGGGACTAAACAACAGGACTCATTGCCAGGCCTTTTTTAAAAAATTAAAAATATTAACTCTTCCTTCCTTATTTATATTTGAATCTGTTTGCCTATTACGTAAGCATGTATCAGCTTCTCAAGAAAGGCTATCTCACAACTTAGGAACACGGAGCAAGATCTTTATCTACCTACCCCACGCTCAAAGTTAGTTAAAAGTTCAATATTATACAACTCGATCACCTGTCATTTGAAATCAAATCCATAACATCATTTTCTTCATTTCGCAAAGCATTGAAATCTTATTTACTAGACAAGGCTTTCTATGCCGTAAATGACTTATATTTTGATAATCGAATTTGATCTTGTAAACACTGGTCTAATGTTTGCTATTACTATATTTACCAATGACATCGAAATTATCGACATCGAAAGAATTTATTTAGAGGTCATTGATATTTACTATAAACTTACTAAATATTTTTGAATCTTATTTTTATTTTTTTTTATTCTTTGACATTGTAAACATTTTTAAATGTTTATTTTAAACAATAAAGGTACATTCAGGCTGAGAGCGTCGAGTGTCGCGTCGCGTTTGCGTCGCGTCCGCCCCAATAAAGGAGCGGAGCGGAGCCCCCAGCGGACGCTAGCGCAACGCCAAACGCGACGCTGTCTGCCTCAACGGTCTAATTTAAGTTAAGTGAATTGATTCCATTTCGACACGCGGACGCGAAGCAAACGCGACGCGACGCGACGCTCGACGCTCTCAGCCTGAATGTACCTTAAGACTGACAATCTATTTTGTATAATGATTTGTATTCTCTTTTGTTTGTTTGTTTGTTTACTTTGTTTGTTTACTTAACCTTTGTCTACAAATTGTAACATTTTTTGACAATAAAGGCATTTATTTATTTATAGAAATGATAATGTTTCGAAAAATATTAGAATAATGAATAAATATAGAAAGTTATGAATATATGTATAAAGTGGTTTGGTTAGGTTACACTTAAATGTAAGATTTTTTTATGAAATGGAGTGAATGAAATTGTGCAGTGACGGCTCAAATGATAACTTCTAATTTCGCTCAAGTGTATCTATGGTCTGAAATGGGCAAAGTTATTTTTCAAATCAATATATCAGGAATAGTATACAGGGTGGTCCGAACTGTATTCCGGAAACTTCGGCAGCATATTCTGCAGATAAAAATAAGTAAATAAGTTCGTATAAATGTATGCCTTAAAATGCTTAGTTTTGGAGATACAGGGTATAGAAGTTTCATTTTTCTTTCGATTATTTCCAAATAATTTCTGAAGTAACCTCAACATTTGGATGAAAATTGGTGTCTTGGAGTTTTTTGACATGAGAAATTTGATTTTGATGTCAATATGACTCCTATTTGTACAGGGCGCCATCTTCATGTGTTTTAACTGTTTTGGAGAGTAATAACTTTCGTCCGTCCCTGTATAAAACTACTGAGTAAAAAAATATACATTTCTGTGATTTTTTACGTAAAAAATGTCCCTTGGTAAAAGTCGCTACGAACAACCGTTCTCAAGATATTTAGAATGGAAATAGTCAATACATGTCATTATTAACAAACAATAGGCATATTGAGTAGACAGATATTTGACTGAAATGATAAATTTGGGAACTTTTTTTTTTTTTTTAATTAATCTTAAATTTTTCTGAGAAAAAATGGTAATAAAGGACTTTTAGCACAAAAACATTTCAAATCTATGATTTCAGCCTAATAACTATTTAGTCAACATGCTTAATTTATGACAAAGATGACAGGTGTTGATAATTTCGATTCGAAATATCTCGAAAACCATTACTCGTAACGATTTTTACTAAGAGACATTTTTTACGTAAAAAACGTTGTAAATATATAATGTTTTATACAGGTACGGACGAAAAGTTATTTCACTTCAAAATAGTTAAAAATATGTAGGTGGCGTCCTCTACAAGTAGGAGTCATATTGACATGAAAATCAAATTTTTCGTGTCAAAAAACTGCCAGACACCAATTTTCATCCAAATATTTACGTTACTTCAGAAATTATTTGGAAAAAATCGAAATAAAATTGTAACTTCTACACCCTGTATCTCCAAAACTAAGCATTTTAGGACATACCAACTTTTTTACTTATTTTTATCTGCAAAATATGCTGCCGAAGTTTCCGGAATACAGTTCGGACCACCCTGTATAAGTTTATCATAACCCAACAATGTATGACACACCGAAAGTTGGTTATGGTCATAGATAAAAGAAAATAATCTTCTATTAAGATAGATATGAAACTTAATAGTAAAATTTTGGCTCAAAGCGCCCCTCTGTGTTCTTAGTAGAGGCTACGTTTAACCCAGCGCCTTCGCCTTTTCTGCTGTAAATATTTTTTATGTTTATATTTGATTTCAAAGGATTTAGTTTTAAAGTTACACTGATATACCTATTAGTATATCAGAGTAACTTTAATAAAAGATAAGAATATGTATATTTTACAGTTTATTAAATATAAATGTTGACTACAAGGTAGAAAGTAAATCACAATATTTGATAAAACTTATAAGTATACCATTTTTACAGTTAATAAATAATAAAACTATTTCTGACTATAATATTTAAAATTTAGATAGATATTTATTTAGATAGAATATTAAAAAATATACCGGTATTTGCAGATGCAGGCCCAAATTCAATAAAAATCAAAATTTTTCCTGCGAAAATCGGGCTTTTTTCACAGAAAAGGTATTTTTTGATTTATCAACAATCATTGTCAAGTTGACAATATACAGGGTGTTTTCTAATTAGTCTAAAAATTGTGGTGTGATTCCTCATGTGTTCTTAAAACAATTACTATATAACCATTGGGTCTAAAGTACTTCCTTTCTGATCTACAGGGTGTTAATAAAAAAAATCGGTATTTTGCTTAACATAAATGGTACACTACTGCTTTTTTAAAGAAAATATATTTTTTTCTTGACTGGCCATCTTTTTTCAACAAAATTGATCTTTTGAGTTTTTCTTGTTCATCAAACGGTTGCGAGAAAAAAATAAATATACTTATTAAGAGACCGCCTTAAGCCGTTTTCTAACGATTTTTAATTTTTTAGATTACTTAGGAAACACCCTGTATATGCATATCACAGAGGACAGGCAACCAAATAAACTAGTAACCTCTAAAAATTATTTTTCCTACCCCTAGCGACATACCGTGTTTTTAGTGAGTACTAAATTATTTTATCAAAATTTCACCATATAAGTTTCCAGGCAATGGTTATGGTAAACAATTTGTTGAAAACATTCTTCTCTGACATTTGATTATACCTAAATAATAAATTATCTTCAGGTGGTCCCATTGGAAGTGTCCTAGTCGACAAATACGGCTGCAAGAAAATGACCATAGTAGGAGCACTCATCTCTACCACAGGGTTCATCCTGAGCACTTTCTCCAGAAGCATCACAATGATGTACCTGACATTCGGAATTTTAGGAGGAATGGGTCTCGCTCTGTGCTACGTCACTGCAGTAGTGGCCATCGCGTTTTGGTTCGACCAAAAGAGAACGCTGGCTTTGGGTTTGGCAGCTGCAGGTTGTGGCTTCGGTACTGTGATCTACTCACCGCTGATAACACTACTTTCTCAGCAATATGGATGGAGGGGAACTGTGCTGATATTGGCGGGATTGTTTGGGAACATGTGCGTTTGTGGGTTGTTGCAGAGAGATCCGGATTGGATCATCAAACAGGAGAAAGATAGGTAATTATAAACATATCGTTGATATATTTAATCGTATCTTGTATCTATTATTTTCAAAACTAGAATTAATTTAAATATTTCTATATTTTCCGTTATTATCATATTTCTAAATTTCCCATACACAATGTTTTTAAAAAGTTAAGACCCTTATACCGGGTGCGACTCAAAAGTGGCCCATCTCTATAACTTTTTTATTTTTTAACTTAAAGAAAACGAGATTTGGTATGTTAGTACATGACATAAATTAATATTGCTTGACGTATTCAATTGTTTTTGGTCACTTCCTGTTTCACCGAAAATGACTACAACGTTTGATTTTTAAATGCAACCCTCGGTATTTTTTTACTTAATTCGATAGAAAATAACACTCTGAATAGAGTGACATATCATACGTCAAAAATATTTCAATAATCAATCAATATTCAATATAAATCGTCAAATATTTTCGCATATGGTTTATTTGAAATTATAACTTGCGGCTTGTAACAAAAATTTGACTCGAAATACCAAGTGTGTGGTATCAAATTATTCGTAAAAATATGCTTTTTCCAGATATGCTAATGAGCCACCCTCATTCCATTTGAAAAAATTGACATATGATTAAAAATACAATTTGAGCATTTTCTAACTGAGCAGGACAAGACACTAAAAACATTAGACGATCAAATCTATTTTTTCAAGGCTCCCTGATTAAGAATTAGTGTTTATAATATAGCCATGGCACTCTACATTGAATTTTAAAATACGATTTTTTATCAAGCGAGAATGTAAAAAATTGACATATGATATGTCATTCTATTCACAATGCCATTTTCTACCGAATAAATTAAAAAAATACCGAGGGTGCCATTTATAAATCAAAAGTTGTAGTCATTTCCGGTGAAATAGGAAGTGACCTAAAACAATTAAATACGTCAATTAATCCTAATTTATGTTATATACTAACATACCAAATCTCGTTTTTTATCTGAAAAAATAAAAAAAGTTATAGGGGTGAGCCACTTTTGAGACGCACCCGGTATATGTTTAATGTTTACGTAAAATTGTTACATCATTAAACAAGAAAAATTCTAATTATTTAATTCAAAATTAAATAATCTAAAAAAAAACATCCCTTAATAAGATACACTATACCTATTCTTTTACGTCATTATAACTGTATAGATTAGCTGAAGAAAAGAAAGAGAAGAAAGAGAAGAAAGAAAAGAAAGCTCTTAAAGAAAACAAGCCCAAACTTGACAAAATTAGCGAAACCCCATTACTGTTAGGTAATATTGAAACATCGGTAGACATCAAGAGTAAAGACCGATTTCATTCTGTTGTCAATCTTCCTACTTACATTGCAAATAATAAAGAAGTAAGTATTCCTGTTGTAATAAAAAACTTGATTCTAATAATTAATATTAGTAACAAAGAAATACCTAAATAAAAAATACCAGTTCATCCCAAATAAACTTTTAGTCACGTGATTAAGCTTGACCGGCACGGCGTTGCCCAGTTTTATATATTTTCTTATAATCAAATTATTTTTGGATACAAAAATAAATTAATTATAAATATATAACCAGTTATTATTTACATCAACAAAACTCTCCTTCTTAACAGCACTTAAGAGACATAAAGGGCCATTAATACCGCTTTCCCGTTCAAAATATTCTAATAAAGTTGCGATGAGTTGTTTATGGCTATTAAGCTTGTATCACTTCGCACTAAAAGTGGTTCTAAAAAGAACAATGTTCGACTGCAAGGTCTGCTACTAACATTTTTAAGCTTAAAGTACCACAACACTATTTTTTTAAAACAAAAAGTCGTTATACAAAACTAAAATATCAAAACGAATGGCAATGTCAGGAAATAAATACATAAATGCGGCAACTTGGCATTTTTACAGCAGAGCTACCACCTGAATCCCCAGCGCGAAATTTAAATTCCAGTTAGTCAGCCGGGCGCCGAATATGTCCATGGTTGGCAATAATGAATTTAAAAATCGCGCCCTTGATTACGTAATTAGAACTTTAATTGATATCAAATATATAATATAAATTAACAAATCCATCTAAAAAATATTTTTAAATGGTAATTTTATTATTGGATGTGTAATTTAAAAGTATTTTTTACCAATTTACGATTAAGAATTGAGTTTCCACATGTTTAGACATAATTTAGATCCAGACACAAGATAGTGTCAATTAAAATCTATATCGCAATGAAATATTTTATCAAACGTTTATTTTTACACTTTTTTAGGTACCTCTAGAGGTCTTGAAGAATCTCAGCAATGATAAGCACATGTATAAGATTATCGTGGATAACTATCCTAACATGCTTTCCAGCAAAAATCTTTCAGATACAGCTCCAGATAAATTGGCAGCTGAAGCTTCTTTGGTCACCACAAGAATACCAGTAAAATATTCACTTACAGGTAAAACAATTGTTGAAACAATTAAACTGATTAATTCGTTAGAAAATCAATTGCAATTGTTATAGCTTTTGCTAAAATTTCATTCGTATAAGTATACTAATAGATCATGTTCATTTGAATGTCGGAAATTCAAAAACCTACAAATTCTAGAATATTTAAAATTTCCGAGTGACATTTTATGTATACTTATTATACAGGGTGAGTCTTAAATAAGTGCAAATATTTTCAGATCTCGATAAAATAAATATATTGTTTCTTTACCGTTTCATTCCAAAATAACAGAGTTATTTTACTATGAAAAGTAAAATCAAGAAATAATTATTTTTATCTAAAAACTAAAAAAAAATCCAAATTTTTTTTCAAAAAAGCCCAAATTTAAAAAAAATTCAAAATAAACCTCATAATCGTGTTTCAGGAGTCGAAATATACTACCCCTATAAGTATTTGCACTTATTTAAGACTTGATTTTTAGTGATACCTACTTTATTTAATATAATAAGGGGTTCATATTTGACGTAGTAAGTGAAACGCTGATACTCAAAAGCAAGCGAAGATGACCAGCTAATACCGAATAAGCTGTGACATAACAGTACAATAAATTCTGCAAAAAAGTTTTTGTTCCTTTTATTTTGAATTACGAGATATAATATTATGACTTTAAATTTTTATCTATAAAACAAAATAAGTAGTTATATGTATAAAAAAGTGTTATTTCATTGTAATTAAATACTGAATGCCTATTTTACATTATGTCACATATAAAAGCGAACTGCACGGTTCAAAGCAGACTTTTCACTCTCTGTACTTTGTCGAGAACGTTTGTAACAATAAAATCGTTTTTTAAAAACAACTCTGTTAATTCAGACCAAAGCCACTTCAAAGAAGGGCCATTCTAAAAAATTCCGCAGATTAGTGACGTATACAAGGTAATCCACTTATGCAGATAGTAGATCTTTTACTTTTCTTATCATAATAAACAAAAAAAATCATATTTGGTATAAACCAGTTGCTTTTGCTAACACCAAAATATTATCTTTATCGATTTTAAATGGTATATCGACTAGACAGAAATAAATTGTACGACTTTTAAAATGGATTTTTTTATTAGTAGAAAATGGTTGATCAATATTTAAGGTATTTATTTAAAATACTATTTAAGAAACGAAACTAAAGAAAACTTCTTAAAACTATTGAAAATATTATCTCTATACAGGATGAGTCATAAATAAGTGCAAATATTTTTAAGGGTAGTATATTTCGACCCCAGAAACATGATTATGAGGTTTTTTCCGCGAAATTGTTTATTGAAATTTTGTAATTTTTTGAAAAAAATTTGGAAATATGGCAACATAGGTAGTAAATTAAATTTACAAGAAAGAAAATCCACAAAGATCCAGTGATTCTCAAAATTTAATTAAATAAATATTTTTTTTGGAAATTTTAAAAGTAAAATAACTCGCTTATTTTGGATTTATTTCAAAAACGGTAAAGAGAAAATATGTTTCTTTTATGCACTTATTTAACACTCACCCTGTATAATCGCAACTATACATTTATTTAATCAAAACCCAATAATTGCTTAGACGTCCTCCCGTCATTAGAACCAAAAAAATAGTCGGTTTTTTCAAAAAATACCTTTTTTGTTTATGATTGCCCTTCCAGTGGCGAAAACTCAGCCTTTTTTCAAGAAACTAAATATGTTATACTATTCTGTTTATTATTCTTAGTAACCCCAAAAGCCGATGATGGTGCTCAAAACGGTACAGTAGTCAGAATTGATTCCACAAAATCCGAACACAGCTCAAACGGTCATTTTCAACACCACGGATATGTAGCCAGCATCAAGCATAGAAAAGTATCTACTAATCAAGATCAAACCATTTTAAATGCTCACAAGTTTAAGAAAACGACAGCCAGTTGTCCCGACGTCAGAATCAAAAATCACTACAAACAGTTAGACATTTTAGAAGAGAAGGAAGAAGAAGAAAAGCCTGAGGTAATATTTGGTAAATATTTTTCGAAAGCATTGCCAAAATTACTTACAGCCAAATAGTCTAAAACTTGGCTACTGGACCTTATAAGGTCACCCTGTATAGCTAGTAAGAGAATCTGGCCTGATTTAGCTGAGATATCCATTATAATGGATATCCCAGCTAAATCAGGCCAGATTCTCTTACTAGCTATACAGGGTGATTTTTAACCTATACGCATAAAGTTGGGAAATTATTGCTGATGACAAATAATGACTAATAATGAAAAAAAAATTAGTAAAATATTTTTATTTACAGAGATAACAAACTATCTGCATATATAAAATGCTAATGTTTATCTGTGTCGTCTCTACTGAAGTAAAGACTTGCTCTAGAAAGTTGCTTTTTTTACTAAAAGATAGCTAATTGGCTCTTCTAAAAACTGTCGTCGCCGGATTTTTTGTTTTTCATTTAATTAAAAAATAATTTTTTTTTCCTGATGTCGTGGCGGATGCGCTAGGCTTTAACTAGTTTGAAATAAAAACAAAAAACGTAAATTCCATTAAATTGAATGTGCACTAAATATTTTTATTTACAGAGATAACAAACTATCTGCATATATAAAATGCTAATGTTTATCTGTGTCGTCTCTACTGAAGTAAAGACTTGCTCTAGAAAGTTGCTTTTTTTACTAAAAGATAGCTAATTGGCTCTTCTAAAAACTGTCGCCGCCGGATTTTTTGTTTTTCATTTAATTAAAAAATAAAATTATTTTTTTCCTGATGTCGTGGCGGATGCGCCAGGCTTTAACTAGTTTGAAATAAAAACAAAAAACGTAAATTCCATTAAATTGAATGTGCACTAAATATTTTTATTTACGGAGTAGCACAAACTATTTGAAATAAAAACAAAAAACGTAAATTCCATTAAATTGAATGTGCATTTACCGATAAAGTTGATAAATTTTTGTGAAACAAAACTCAAATTACTTCAGAATCTAAATATTTTACTAACATTTTTTTCATTATTAGTCATTATTTGTCATCAGCAATAATTTCCCAAGTTTATGCGTATAGGATAAAAATCACCCTGTATAGAGGAATCTACCGGGTGCGTCTGAAAAGTGGCTTACCCCTATAACTTTTTAATTTTTTCAGATGAAAACACGTGGTTTGGTACGTTCTACTCTAGACGTAGTATATTATGACATAAATTGGGGATTGATCGACGGTATTCAATTGTTTTCGGTCACTTCCTCATTACAACTTTTGATTTTTAAATGGCACCCTCGGTATTTTTTTTTTACTTTATACGATAGAAAGTAACACTCTGAATAGAATGACATATCATATGTAAAGTTTTGACATTTTCGCATATGATTTAGTGGAAATTATAACTTGCGGTTCGTAACGAAAATTTCACTTGAAATACCAAGTGTCTGGTATCAAATTATTCGTAAAAAATGCTTTTTCCAAATAGGCTAATAAGCCACCCTCGTTGCATTTGAAAAAATTAAGATATGATTAAAAATACAATTTTAGAAATTTTTTAGACACTAAAAATATTAGACTATCAAATCTATTTTTCCAAGGCTCCTTGATTAAGAATTAGCGTTTTTAACGTAGCCATGGCACTCTAGATTGAAATTTAAAATACGATTTTTTATTAAGCGAGAATGTCAAAAGTTGACATATGATACGTTATTCTATTCAGAATATCTTTTTCTATTGAATAAACTAAAAATATACCAGTGGTGCCATTCAAAAATCAAAAGTAGTAGTCATTTGCGGTGAAACATGAAGTGACCAAAAACAATTGAATACGTCAACAATCCCAATTTATGTCATATACTAATATACCTAATCTCGTTTTTTTATCTGAAATAATAAAAAAGTTATAGGGTGAGCCACTTTTAAGACGCACCCGGTATTTATAAAAGTTATTTTTTGATACTGTTTAATAAGTACTTAAATTTGGTATTTTCATGTATATAGTCTGTCCAAGGATGATCCCTCACAGTGACAGTGGTATCTGTCAATTTAATTCACAGGCTAATTGAATTTTCTGTCATTTCTTGAATGCTATCTGTCTAAATCTTCTCTGAGTCGATGAATAAACTATATTTTGTCGTGAATGCCACGCGAAATACATAAATAACAAATGTTTATCAGACCATAAGTTAATTTAGAAAACATTTTTTTCAGAAATGGTACCACAACTGCATTGATGTCTTTGGAGACATAATCGATTTCTCGATGTTCCTGCAACTTCACTTCTTTCTCGTTAGTATTGCAACAATAATAATGTGCATTTGGTTTGCGGTCCCATTTGTTTATCTTGCAGACCACATGGCAGTTCTCGGATACAGTGATACCCAAGTATCATTAACCATTTCCGTTATAGGAATTACAAACGTACTTGGCATGGTAAGAACTACTTTTATTAAGACCTAAACACACCATTTTTTTCACTCAAACTTAGTAAAAAAATCATTCAGAAACCATCCAGAATGATAACTGTAGAATGCATTTAATTTTTGTTTCGTCCAAAGGATAAAAACTAAATAGAAACGTATTTTAAACTTAATAATTATTATTTAACTTTTTGTTACAGGTAATCATAGGCTTCCTAGGCACAAAAATGAAAGTAGCCACATTATATGCGGCCTGCCTGTTCCTGTCTGGCATATCTTGCGCCGTAATGATGCTTTTCTCATACAACTTCATAATTCTCATAATATCGAGTGGAGCATTTGGACTTTTCTATGCGAGCCAACACTCTTTAACTCCAGCTATCGTAGCTCAGCTGGTACCTCTAGAAAAGTTCAGTATGGCATATGGTCTCAGTCTATTGTGTCAAGGAATTGGAAAATTGACAGGTCCACCCTTAGCTGGTATGTTTATAAAACTTCAATGATTGTAAAATATTACAATTGAGGGTTGGAACCTTTGGTGTTACACAGCAAAATAAAACACTAAATCACCACAATACACCAAAACACTTTTACTTTTACACTGGACGCGCGTTTCGCTAACCATGTTAGCATCATCAGCAGATGATTATAAACTTTAGTTTACATGGTTAGCAAAACGCGCGTCCAGTGTAAAAGTAAAAGTGTTTTGGTGTATTGTGGTGATTTAGTGTTTTATTTTGAATTGTAAAATAATTATGAAATTATTAGATACATTAAAACATAATGCCAATATCATAATATCCCTACTATATTATTTCCGTGTGCCGTAAATTTTGGCGTTCTACTCTAGACTTGTAGGGGACCGTCCTATGCCGGAAACACTGTGGCCTGTAAAGCCTATTGTGTTTGTCGCTTCTTCGTCAGCGCCCACTCTTTTATTCCTTTTATCCCTGTACCATCTTGTGCAGGTACTTGATAGAATAGGAGCGTAGTTCGCTCAGTGTTGCTTTGAAAGTTCAAACTTCAAAATTAACAATTAGGTACTACCTGATAACAATTACTTAATAAGGTAAAACCAAGAAGCCCCAAACTTTCTGTATAATTATTTTTAATTTTTACGTGCGTTATGTTTTTTTATTTATGTTATGTTCTTTAAAATCAAAGAAACGATTGCCATGCATTACCTAACATCTACAGATGCATGAGTAATACATTTATTTTTATTAGATTGTATTAAAAAAGCCTCTTTTATTTTTCTTTTAGAGGCTATCGCTTCTTTAATTATAATTTTGCCGTTATTAAAATTTATTATGTGTCCTGTGTCCCATGAATGCTGGCAAATCTTAGATTTGTGAAAATCTACCTTTCTTAAATAATCGTTATGTTCTTTAATTCGAACATTTAAGGGTCTAGATGTTTCACCAATGTAAAATTTATCGCAAAATAAAACACTAATGCCACAATACACCAAACACCTTCATTTAAACTGTAGACACGCATTTCGCTAACTATGTTAACATTATCATTAGCTGATAAAATCAATGAAAGTAGTTTTAATCATCGGCTGATGATGGTTAGTAAAACGGCCATCCCAAATTCAAAGCAAAGTGTATGGTGGATTGTTATAAATTAATATTTATTTTTTGGCTGTTGTAACACCAAAGATTCCAACCTCAATTGTATACCTATATGTTAAGTAGTTATCATAATTTTTTTTACAAAAAATAGCAGTTACAAATGGACATTTCTATGATAATTCCATTTAGTTTAAACTTGTTTTGCTATATCCTCATATAATGCATTATTTTATTTTTAGGATACTTATTTGATTTGACGCAGTCCTACAGTCAATCATTCTATCAAGCTGCCGTTTGGATATTTTTGTCCGGTATTCTGATTGGAGTTATTCCTTATACCAAAGAAAGAAAATTATGTGGAAGGTGACACTCTTAGTCAGTTGAATGAAGAATTAGGTGCTTTTGTTTTAATAAATTGTTATGTTGTAATAAATAAAAAACAAAAATTTGTATATAGGTAATAAGACTAACCAAATGACTGCATTGTTTATTTCGGAACTCTAATACAGAACGGGTATTTACATAATTCAATCATACTTATAATAAGTAATTGTAAAAACAAGACAAAAAAGAACTAGATTGACAGACTTGCGAATTGAGTATTACGGAAAATATTAAGGAATCATTGGAATCTGAAATACTGACATTTCATCGGCATTAGAATTAGGACACTATTAATCTACGGCATCTAAATCTAAGACAAGGCCTTAAGACTTTATCTCAATGGATAATTTTGTAAAAATGTCGCCGAAATCTCAAAAAGTATCTAAATATTCGTAAGCTATTTCGGAAAATTATGCCAATTTTAATCACAGGTATGCTTATCAACATTTAGTTGTAAGGTGTACCAATAACAACACTGGGAGTTCTTGTTCTAATCATCTAGAATGCCAAACTTTCAAAAATTAGCCTATTAATCGATATATTGCAGTAGTAAATTTGCAAAATACTTTATTCGAAAAATTGTTCTAAAAAATTGATTATTACAACTAAGAATACACAGCCATCTACGTAAAAATTATTGACACGATTATTATAAGATAAACTACCAAATAAAAACAATTGATTAAATTTAAATACACACAAAATAAAATAAGTTTAAATTAAAATGTTATTTCGAATCTTTATAATAGACGTAAAATTATAAAATTTTCTTGAAAGCCAATTTTTGTTACAATCGACCTGAGGTTTCGACATTCAATTATGAAATTTGTATATAGGCTCCATATATACAGAGTACAGAGGTAGGTAGTTCACTATGTATTACTTAGAAACTTCTAAAAACAGACATATATGTAACTGATAATAAAAATATTTCACTTAAATTTTCTATTATCAGTATTATGTCTTTGCTATCAAAAATTCTACAAATGTACGGCATCAACAATCGAGAAAATTCGTTACAGACAAAACGGGATCATTAAATTTTTAATAATATATCTAATATCGCTATAATACTTATTATATCGCCAGAATAATACACACTGTTTAAGTCTACTTCTGGAAAATCGATTTATCTGAATTATTGGCAAGAGACATAAAATGCCTGTCATGGAATGTGAGATCACCCCTATAAGCAATATTCTTAAGGTATGCTCTCTTTGTTGGCCCCCAGCGTCTCAAAGCCGCCATTTTTGTTATCGTTCGGCGAAGATTCCTTGATCGAAACCTCAGAAGATGTCTTCTCTCTGACGAATCGCTTGTATCGTTTCGTGATGGGTATGACAACGAGCATCAGACCGGATAGGGCTATAAACAAGCCTGCCAAGTAAAATGACAGATGGTAGGTGCCGGTAATGTCATATATCCAGCCTAGAAATGAAAATAAAAAATAAATTTACTAAAAATAGTTGAAGGCTTGTGTTTTTGAGGTTCTGTTGCCAGTATAAGTATTTCAATAAAAAGATTAAGAAAGGAGTATGATGTTATCCATGAACACGTTTATTGCGAGTGTTTCAAACACGTCTGAATAGGTAAGCTGGCAAATACCGATATAATACTATGTATTATATCGGTATTATTTATGGTATTAATATATGTTATGGTATGTATTATATCGGTATTAATATATAAAAATGTCAATCATATTATGATTGACATTTTTTAAGAGTCCATTTCAATAATCGGAAAAAGTAGCAAAATAAGCGTTCGGCATTTAACGTTTTATGTAAAACTGATGGCTAGGTACTTTTACACAAATGAAGGAGGAAATTAAAGATAAAGGATTATATAGTCTATAAAATGAATAACTTTGAATTTTGACCGTTATTTTTTACCAACATGGCAAATATAAAATCCCTCTATCAAAAAAGTTACTGATATTCTTTAAAATGAGTACCTGAACGAATCAGATAGGTAACTCTTTTTACTTTCGTGAAATAGAAAAGGAAAATAATAAAACAAGTGACAATCCTTCCTCTTCTTGCAAAAATCAACACGAAATGTCATATTTGCGAAAAGTAAAATGTCATCAGCTTTTGACATTTCTCAATATCAGACCAATGCCGTCTCTAATAGAACAGCCTCGGAGCGAGATTTATGACGTCACGCTTGTTAGATACTACGGATGAATAAATATGTTGTAGAATACATGGAAAACATAATTATTCCTCCTTTTTTTGGTTTGTATTTTAAAAATGATATAGTTTACATGAAATATACATAATATACAGTTAATAAATACAATATAATATATACCTATTTATAGTAATAAATAGTTTTGCAAATAAACTATGAACCATACAAATGCAGCAAATGTTTTACAATATACAAATAATGAATAGGTACATAAGATAATGGGTAAAATGTAAAATATATTTTAAATTTTGGGGTTTGAAAAATCGATCTAATTTAACAAAAACATTCAATATCTACTAATAGTGATGTATTATTATTTGCATTCATAAAATTTATATGTATATTTTGGAAGTATCAATGTTAGAAAAATTATATTTGCAAATAATACAATATCATATAAAAAAAGCGTCAGCGATGGCTATGAAATAAAGATCACTGTCATTTTATATGTAAAATTATTCTAAAACTTTTGATTTTCTCGGGATTTAGGTTCGGGAAAAACGCTGATTAAGTTTTCATTTGGTTTTTCATTATTCTTATTTGGTTTAAATAAAAACGTGTTCCACAAATTCCAACTGCCGGCGTCCTCGTTCGCGTGGAATGGGAAACGCTGAATGGCGTCATTGCACATAGACGCGTCTCAGTAGGCTAACGGCAGCAATGGTGCCCAGCGGGTAGGAGAGATGGCCTGCTGGGTAATAGAGCTCATACTGCATCATCATCGAGCTCGCGGCATGCGATCCGAACTCGAGCAGCTGAGTGCAACAACATCTCAACCAAACCGGCGATATGGAAGGGTGTGAAAAGGAACATTTTACCCCAGGAGGTAGCCCAACTTTGGGAAATCCTCCCACCTCCACTGAGGTGGCCGAGCCCCATTCGGATTCTGGGGGGGGCTCATTTTCACACGACGACAGTGATCCAGCAGTGGTACACTTGGCTGCTGGATCTTCCCAAGCCACAAGTGCACAGGAGAATGCTACCCAAGGCAGCAAAGGCGCCGGGAGTATCTCCTCTCGACTGGAGAATATGGAGATCGGAGGGACAACCGATGATGATCTCTCCATAGACTCCGACTCCGAGGAGGGGCTGCTCAATCCGGAAGCCGACGCAGGCCAAGGGAAAAGCATCAAGAGGAAAAGTCTAACGGCGTTCCAAAAGGCCAAAAAAGTCTACCGGAACGCTCAGACTTTTTTGAAAAAGATGAGCTTGAAGAAGAAGGAAGACTTGACCGAACGGGAAAGAAACCTCATCAAGCTCAACGAGAGAAAAATCTCCAAATTCGAGGCTGACCAACAGTCAAAGAAAATGGAGGTGATTCCTGAGGAAGGGGAGAAGCCGTCCTCCAAATCGGTGAGAAGGCTTCAGAGGTCCGACGCTATTGTGGAATCTCCAAAGTCAGCAGACCCCAAAAAACCAAAATCTGAAAAGATACCGGTTAAAAGGGGTCGGTCTGGCGAGGGAGAAGGAAACGTAGCAAAAAGGGCTAAACCCTCGACTAGCTTCGATTCGCCGGACGAATGTCAGGTCGCTGTCATTGATCGAGCTGATCTAGATGGCAAAATGACGCCCGAAAGGTGGATGGCGGTTGAGTCGAGGATCCTGATGGCTATCGCCGAAAAGGAGGGAGGCAGCGACGAGGAAGTGATCTTCGACGGGGCTGGATGGCAGAAAGGTGTCAAAGTTGTGGGTTGCAGCAACAGGTTGTCGCGAGACTTCCTAACGCAAGTAATCCGCAACTGCAACGACATCTGGCCAGGAGCCCGACTAGAGGTCATTCCCAGATCGCAACTGCCCCTAAGAAAAACGATCTCATTATGGATCCCTCCTCCAGTACCGGAGAAGGATGAGACAACGATGAAGATCTTGGCGAGACAAAATAAGAACCTATGGACACAGGACTGGAGGGTAGTCTCATCAGTCGCCAGTCCAAACGGAAAAGGAAGGGATATAGTGATCGCCATTGACGAGGCATCACTAGATCGCTTGAGGAAATCGGAAGGAAGCATCAAATTTGGTCTCGGGGCTCTAAAGGCGAGGCTTCCTAACGACAAGAATGGCACCAAGTCAACCAGGGCTGCGGGTGGTTCAGATTAATCTGAACCACTGTGAGGCCGCGACGGAGGATTTGATGCTGTTCATGAGTGAAAAGAAGGTGGACGTGGCCTTAGTCCAGGAACCATGGATCGCAAGAGACAAAATCCAGGGACTGAGGTCAAAAGAATACATTCTACTTCACCCACAGATTACAGGTAAAAAGAGAGCGTGTATAGTAGCAAGAAGAGCACTAAAGCTTACATTGCTATCCCATTACAGCACAAACGATCTGAGCGTGGCCACGTGCGAGGACCAAAAGGGGTTCAAACTTCTACTGGTCTCAGCATACATGCCATACGACGAAGAGAATCCCCCGCCGGAAGCGGTCCGAAATCTGGTTCGAGAAGCCAGAAGAATGGGCCAACAGCTGGTGATAGGATGTGACGCCAACGGCCATCACGTCCAATGGGGAAGCAAGGATATCAATGAAAGAGGTGAGTCAATAATGGATTTTATACTTTCTAATAACCTTACTATATGCAACAGAGGCAACGTGCCAACGTTTGCAAATAAAATTAGGCAGGAAGTTTTAGATCTAACCTTGACCACGGAGGGACGGGGTTTGATAGTCGAGGATTGGAGGGTTGATCTGGAGAGATCCTTCTCCGACCATAGGAGAATACTCTTTAGGATTAAACGAGAAGTCCCGCTTGTTAAACCCTATAGGAATCCTAGAAAGACGGACTGGAGTAAATATGAAAAACTCGTGAATAGGTATTCTAGCGAAGGGGAACTAACCCATATGCCGGAGAAATCGAATCGCGACTATATAGACAATACGGTTGAGAAATTAGGAGAAGTGCTTATTAGAGCTTTTAAAAATTCATGCCCTGTTAGCCGACCCCGTAAAAACACCAAACCGTGGTGGAACGCGGAGTTACGGCAGACTAGGACAGGAATAAAGAAGCTATACAATAAAGCACAAAAGGAGAAAACGGAAGAAAGTTGGGACGTTTATAGAAAGTGTTTCAACGAATATAAAAAGAAAATAAGAGAGGCTAAATGGGTATCGGTAAAGGAATTCAGTGAGTCCATCAGGGACACCAACGAGGCGGCCAGACTGAGGAAGGTACTGTCCAAAGAACCGATGGTACCAAGCAACATCAGGAGACCAGACGATTCGTGGACTGAATCCAACGCCGAGACCCTCAATCTTCTAATGGAGACCCACTTCCCTGGCTGCAAGGACCCTGAACCAAACGAAATCGATCGGCAAGAGCCGAGAGACGACAATGGATCAGGGGACGAAGCAGAGAAGAGGGAGAAGATCAGCAGGACCATCACAGAGGAGAGGGTAGCATGGGCAATTCGTTCATTTAGCCCATACAAGTCGGCAGGAGTGGACGAAATAACACCAATCATGCTGCAAAAAGCTCCAAGGAGCATCAATACCCTACTAACCAGGATCTTCCGGGAATGCCTATATTTGGGGCATATTCCAAAGAAGTGGAGAGAGGTAAAAGTGGTCTTCATACCTAAGGCGGGTAAACCAAGCCACTCTTTACCCAAGGACTTCAGACCTATTAGCCTATCATCGTTTCTACTGAAAACACTAGAGAGGCTGATAGATCTACATATTAAGGAGACTACAGATATTGAGAAGCAATGTGCTGCGCAACACGCATACCTTAAAGGTAAGTCAGTCGAAAGTGCTCTGCATTCGGTAGTAGGTACAATTGAAAAATCCCTCAGGGATAAGGAATACACATTAGTGGCTTTCTTAGACATAGAGGGTGCTTTCAATAATGTAAAGACAGAGGCGATCAAAAAAGCCATGGAGGAACTAAAGGTAGAGCAATTAACCATCAACTGGGTGTTAGAAATGCTAGAGAACAGGACTATCACATCGGAGATGGGAAACAGCTCAGCCAAAAAGTGTGCAACAAGAGGCACGCCACAAGGAGGGGTATTATCACCTCTGCTGTGGCTGATTGTAATGAACCCGATCCTGACCTCTCTGACAATGAAGGGAATTAGGATAAAGGCATATGCAGACGACGTGGTAATATTGATCGTTGGCAAAGACTTGCAGACGATCAGTGACATCATGGAATCTGCTCTGAAGAAGTTAACGGAATGGGCAAAAAGGAATGGTTTGGGCATCAACCCAGACAAAACCGAGCTCATTCTGTTTACAA